GCACTTGTGCCGAGAAGCACCCTCGCCAAACAACCCGGACTCCAAGTCTCGTTGCTCGCGTGATTTGTGCACAGCAGACCGCTCTCCTTGGACAGTCAAGGAATACACAAAAACACCTTGTTGGTTTGCATACATCGAATCGACGTGGGTTAAGAGTTGTTTTCGCGCCGTTGATCAGGGCGTTGGAGCACATCCGGCGGCAACACACGCTGCCATACACGTTCCCAGTCCAGCATTACAGAGAAGGGCAGCGGCAGGAGCGCCAACTCCTGCTGTCACGGTGCCAAACGTCAACCCCGCAGCTCCGTAGCACGCCACAACCAGAGCGTTGCATCCCGTTTGGCACATCGCATACGCCAACGGTCCAGCGCGCGCGGTGTGGGCCAAGACAATCCCGACCATCAGTGCCGCTCCCAATCGTGTGCTCCTCATGGCTGTCGACAACTTCCAAGTGATCGCACTCGTTCATGGACAAGTTTCAGTTGCGACCCAACTGCAAGAACCCCGTGAGTCAATTTCCTATTTTTTGTGGTTTAAAACGAATTTGTTGCTATTTTGACCAGATCCGTTGCAGTACACAAATATTTTTGTATAAATGTGAAAAAGTCGATATTTGCTGGAGAAGAGCAAATACGTTGAGAGAGTTGCTAACCTTTTTGTGCATTCGTTTCTATGGGTTTTTAAAAAGCCATTGTTGAGTTGCTCCATTTCCAAGACATTTCCCATGTCCTTTTTCACCGTGTCAGGAAAAAAGACATATATTCACTACAGTCGATCGGATGACAAGTGGAGAATTATCTTGGTGTTCGTATACACCACCTATGCGCAACTGAATCCCCCTGGTCACGTAAAAAACGCAAGAATTGGAAATGAACGTCCAATCCCTTCGATTTGACTGAAGTGTTCCTGCGTTAAAAAGAATAAAACGTTTCCGAATGTGGTCATGCTGTGGTTCTCTAGTTCGAGGTTGGCATGGAACAAAGGTCGAAGCCAGTCCAGTCGTGGGCAGTGCCGCCGGTCCTCGTGCAAGGAGCGTCTCTACCGCGTGTGTGGATGGCCTGGTTCACATCAAGCTAGGGTGAATAGGATATTTTATGACACTTGGACGTGGGCGTGTTGGGCGAGCTGGGCGAACGCGCTGTCCTTGTTGGCGAGGAGGGTGGCGGGGGCGTCAAACTCCTTGACGCGGCCCGCGTCCAGCACGAGGATCCGGTCCGAGTCCAAAATTGTCTCGAGCCGATGGGCAATGATGAGCCGCGTGACGCCGTGGAACCCGTCCTGGATCATTTGCTGGATCAGCCGGTCCGTCTCGAGGTCGATGTTGGCCGTCGCTTCGTCCAGCACCACGACCTTGGACTTGCGCAACAATGCGCGCGCGATGCACACCAACTGGCGCTGGCCCACCGACACGTTCCCGCCCTTCTCCGACACGGCAAACTCGAGCGACCCCACAAACTCGTCCAAGTGCACTCGCTCGAGCGCCGTCCACAGCTCGTCGTCCGAGCACGTGTTGGACGGGTCCAAGTTGAACCGAAGCGACCCGCTAAAGAGCACCGGGTCTTGCGGGATGATGGTCATGCGCGACCGGAGCGTGCGGACCGAGATCGACGCAATGTCCACCTGCATAGAGCCATCAGACCTCCTCACACGCATGGGTCATCGATTCGTACCCCGTCCAGCGTGATCGTGCCCGTCGCCGACGGCACCATGCGGAAGAGCGCCGCCATGAGCGAACTCTTGCCCGACCCCGTGCGGCCGCAGATCCCAACCTTCTCGCCGCCCTTGACCGTGAAACTCACGTCGTTGAGGACCAAATCCAAGTGCTCGCGGTACCGCATCGAGTAGTTGGTAAATGTGATCTCGCCCTGCGTCGGCCACGAGCCTGGAGGAGTAATTAAGACGACGGCTGGCTTGCCGGCCATCGCTGTGGCGGCGTCCTCACTGGCGAGCGAGTTGAAGTGGCCGAGGCGTTCGACGGCAGTCATGGTGTTCTCGACCATGTTGGAGAAAATGGCAACTTTCGACAGGAAAAACGACAGCTGCGACGAGTACGTGAGCGAGAGGCCGGCCGCAGTGAGGCCAATCGAGGACTTGGTCCAGATCGAGACAAAGGCCACGCCTAGATCGTGTCAGGAATGTTGCCATCGCGATGGCATATCGCACGTACCGACGATCACGAGCGACGCGACCCAGTCGAGGCGTAATTGAAACCATCGATTGCTCATGCTCAGTGTAAACGTAAAGCGTATGTGGCGGTCCAGGGCGGCGCGTTGGTTTTGGAGGAATCGCCCGGTCCGGCTGAACGCACGGATGGTCGAGAGGCCGTGGATGGCTTCACTGACTTTGGTCACCACGGGCGATCGCGACGTCCCCTCCATGCGCTTGAGCTCGGACGACGACGCGTTGTAGAATCGCTGGAGTCGGAAGAACAAGCCGACGAGCGGCAAGTAGAGCACGAGAATCCAGGGGGTCGTGACCATGCACACCTATCGCAAGCCGCCGATCCGTGAGCGACTGCAACAACGCTGCCGTCCGGACGCACGTACCACGACGACGGCAAAGAACTGAAACAGAAACTGAAGCACCATCATGCCAAAGTAGGGCAAAATCGCGTCGACTTGGTCCAGATCGGACGAAAACCGATTCAGGACGCGGCCGACCGGCGTCACGTCAAAGAAGGTCGGGACGGGCGCATGGACGACAGCATGGAAGATCTTGGCATGCAACGCACGGGAGCACGCGATCGCAACGACGAGGACGTGCAGAGACCGCCCGTAGACAGTCAGCACGGACGCCACGGCGAGGAAAATGTACCACCACCCGGTCGACGTCGATGTGTTGAGGGTCGGGTCGTTGGACCAGTAGCTCATGAACCAGTCCAGCAACGACACGAGGGTTTGGGACGCTGTGTAGAAGAGCGCGATGAAGCTCGCGACAACACAACTACAAAACGACATGACGGGCTGAAGAGACGACGCCATCGATCCATACCCGTTCCTCCCGCTCGAGGTAAAGTAGAGGTTGTACGTGGAAGCAGTCACCGTTCCCTTTTGACGGTCTTCGTGGCCGATGAGTTGGCCGCGGATCGCGAGCTTGGGTGGTGGTGTGAGTGTTGGGGGATTCTTTGACGATTCAGCATCGACTTGACCGGCAGACTCGACAGGCACCTTGGCCACGTCGTTGTCCGCAATGCCCTCCGTCTCCGTGGCGTGGTTGGCAACATGCATCAAGTGGGGGAAAGCATGCTTGATGTCATCGTAGGTCCCGTCGCCTACGATCGTTCCGTCGGCCATGACGAGGACCTGGGTTTGCAGGTGACGATCGATATAGAGACTTGGCCCGAGCACGTACGCGATCGGCTTTGGGCAGAAGATGGTAGTGGCTGTTGAGCACCAAGACGGTCGTTTTGTGTTGCAACAGCCCCTGGATGCCCATTTCAAACACTGCGTTCGCGACGTGCACGTCCAGCGCACTCAACGGGTCGTCGAGGAGGTATACGTTGGCGTTGGGGCAGTACAGCGCCCGCGCCAGACTCACGCGGGCCTTTTGGCCGCCGCTCAAGTTGATGCCGCGCTCGCCGATCTCGGTCGCGTCGCCGTCTGGCAGCATGGACAAGTCCGATTCGAGCTGGCAAGCCGACAACACCTCGTGGTACACCGCTTCGTCGTACGGCGAGTCAAACAGGATGTTTTGCTTGAGTGTGGCGTGCTGGATCCAAGCATCTTGGTTCACGTACGAAAAGTGCGCGTGGTGGACGTGGCGCTGTCCTCGAACTTGGTGGATTTCGCCGAGGATGGCATGAATCAAACTGGACTTGCCGCTTCCGACGGCGCCGATTACAATCGTGAGCGATTGCGGGGCAATGTGCACTTGAATACTGCGCAGTGTCAAAGGTCGCGTCACCGCCGCCATGGCAAGCACTGCATCGTGGAGAGTCTTGTCCGCAGTGGCCGCCGAAGCGGCGACGGATCGGTTGCTAGCGGCCCAGCTAAAGTCCCCCTGGTCGATCTCAATGACGGGTGTCAGGTTGGTTGTGTCGGTGCCATCGTCGTCTGCACTCGGCAACAAAAGATCGACTTCGTCAGCCAACAGAAATGTTGTGATGCGGCGGCACGATGCCAAGGCTTCCGTGAGCCCCATCACGGACGAGCTAAACACTGTGCAGGGTTGGCGGGCAATGTTCATGTAGGCGAGGGCAGTGAAGGCGGCGGGGGTGGTGAGCTGGTTGCCGAGGGCCACGTACACCATGAGGCAGGCTGCGAGGGACACGAGGGGGGCCAGCATGAGCGCGACCGTGTTGAAAATGCGCGTGGCTTGGTATTTCCGCAGCAGCACGAGCTCCTGCGCTCGAATGTCGGCCAGCTGGGACTCCAGTGACGCCTCCCACGCGTACAACTTGACAACGCGGATGCCTTGGAGGATTTCGTTGGTGAGTTTGACGCGCTCGGCTTGAACAGCAAGAACATCGGCGCGGAGACGGCCGACCTTTTCGCCTGTTTTGAACCCCATCGTGACAAACGCCAGCATGATGCTGCCCCCGACGACCGCAACGATCGCTCCGAGTTCCGTCCCGAGCATAACAAAGACTGCCAAGAGAGTAAGCGGGCTAGCGCACAGTCGAGAAAGACGTGAAGCTTCCCACAAGTCCTCACAAACGTATATCTTACCTGATAAAGGTCCAATACCCCATGAGGAACCCAAAGAACATGCGGTCAGCATCCACGGACGCCATGGTGACGATGTCGCCTGTGGTCAGGCTCTTTGTGGCATATCCTGACATGCACAAGATCTTCTTGAAGACGGTGTCCATGAGCACGAGCTTTGCATTCACGCCCAAATAGTTGGCCAGGTACTGGCCATAGTCGCCGATCGAGACGGACGCGATCGTGACCACCGACAAGACGGTGGCAAGGGCGTAGCCGTTGGAAAGGCCGACGCTCGTGGCGATCGGGAGGTCATCTGGCTGCTGGAGAAATTGCAGCATCGACTTGATCAGGATCGGCTGGACGAGCATGAGCGCCCCCGAGACCACGTACAGCGAAATCGAGTACCAGATTCGAACTCGGAACGTCCGGTAGATGGTATACCACAGCGCGGGCGCCCGCTTCGTCCGCTCGACGTCCCAGTGCTTCCGGAATTCGGCGTGAAGTACCGCAGCTGTGTCCGACTGCGGCAATGGCCACACGTCGTCCTCGGTCAGCGGCGCCTTGGCACCTCGCGCGATCAGCCGGTCGATCCACGAAATGGCCACGACCGTCAACCAGTTTGCCGACTCGAGTGGGTTGGACTGGCTGCTCCATGGAATCTCCACGACTTCTTCGACGCGATGGACGCCGTTCGCCTTTGGCGTCTCCACCAACGCGTAGGTGGCATCCCCTGCCCGTGCCATCCTCGACACGATCGAGAAATGAGTGGAAATTGTTGGCAGCACAGCGGCATGGACAACATTTGCACAGTGGAACTTCAAATTGCTACGGAACGTCCTTCCGATTCGTCATCTCGGCCAATCGGACCAACGTCATTAAATCCAGGGAATTTTCAAGTAGTTGTCGGCATTGCGACAGATACCCCATCGTGTATGTGTCGATGTCGAGAGGGAATTTTTGAAGTGACTGCGCCACGCCGACCACGATGATGCTTCAACCAAAGGCGCGAGCTATCAGCCCTGCTGCCGTGCTCTCGGCACGTCGCAGGAAGACATCAACTGGGTTGCGATTCGTGATGCTTGGCCCCCCCGGACATTGGGCAATTGATATCTGGGTTACTCAACAGCCAATCAAATTGCTGATTGTTTGTGATTGGGGGATGACAGCCAATCAAGAATGGCGTTGACTATTTCGACGACTTGGGTGAATGAAACCCATTCCAAAGATGGCAAACCTGTGGGGGTGGCAGCGGGGAAGACGCCGTGGGCAGAGCATGGCGATGCCGGCACTGGAAGAGAGATCGCGAAGGCAGTCGAACCTTACTGTCCCAGATCACGAGGGAGATAGCTGCTCTTGGCCTTGTACCTTCAGTTGGCTTGTCAACAGGGACCACCCAGTGCCTCCAAAACACGCGAGTGGACACTGTAGTGGTTGCAATGAGCTGGTACACCTGGACATGGCCCCACAGTCAGCATGGTCGACTCGATCGACACGGCAGTGGCATCCGATGGCCCTTTGGACCACATGCAGTTGGTCAGATGTTGTTCAGCTGATATATGGCGATATCGCTATATGAATGGGACGACACACTAGCGCACACACAATGTTTGTTTGGCTGAACTGCGCCAATCCCGCGCAGCCTCCACTCGCCACTGCAGTTTGAAGCGGTGGTGCGTATTAAAAGAGCTGGAGCTACCATTGTGACATTCGTGAACCCATCATGCGTTCCAAGTCGACGTAGAGTTGCTGGTCCGCCACAAAGTCGGTCCATTCCTCGATTCAATGGCAGGAATTCACAACCTATCGTCATTCACCTTTTCGTGACAATCTCTACAACATGTTGGCATCTCGGACAAGCTGGTACGATGTCGGCGCCTGGTCACGTTGCGTCCGGTGCCTCAACAACGACCACAACACTCCTCCCGCAAAGCACAACGCCCCCGTGACGTACATGGCTCGAAAGAACGACAACGTTCCATTGTCTTCTCGAACCGTGAGCGACTCCATGGCCTTGGCCGTCCCAACAACGATCGAGTCTTGGCGGAACACTCGGAGAAGGACATTTTTCGACGCGATCTGGCCGCATGGAGTCCAAGAGCGCACGGCGAAAGCCACGACCGTGGGGGGCTTTTGCCTCTGCGTTGTCGGAATCGCAACGCGGCTGTCCTGAAGCGGAGTCCACCGCTGAAAGATCGGGCGGCCATTCGGGCGCTGTACTGTCCATGTAACTTGGGACTTGACCCAGTCGCCATCGGGGGTGGCCACCTGCACGAGGCTCTCCACGTTCAACATGACAACGTCGACATCCGCCGTCCACACGAGCCGAATCGTGTCCGACGCAGCGTGGTAAACCACTTCGTCCTTCAAGTAGGGCGGAATCCAGCTCCGCTTGGCCCTCTCGGTTGTCTCCAGTGCATGCGGCGTTGCTTCCAGCGACGCGGAGAAGAGATCCATTGGCACAAACGTCACGCAGTGGTTCAGCGTACAAGCGTCGGTGCCTCGGCACTGCGGCGTCGAATCGAGAGGGCTGGCGCAGGACGCAGGGTGCACCCATTCCTTCAGCACGCGGGTCGTGTGCACACACCTACGTGCAAACCCACGTCAATTGAAATCCACACGGACAACGTGAGTATACTTGGTACAGACGGCGGCAGGGTCTGGAATCGGTCGGTCGAGAGTCAAATCCATGGTGTCGGCCACCGCTTTGAGCTCGTTCAACTCGACGGCGGTGGGGGCGTCCAGCTCCCGCAGCACCCTGACTTTGTCATCGTCGTTGCCACGCACCATGTCCACCGTGGTGTGTCGCCCCAACCGCTTGGTCTGGACGGTAAACGAATCGCAACGCGACGTAGCGACTTGCCCTGCCACGCACGGAAAATTCTCCACGCGGTGGCCCCACTTTTCAAATGCATCCACCACAGCGCTCCACTTGAGTTCCTCAAACGGATCTTTCAAGTGCGAGTAGAATGCCGTTGCATCGTACGTGACGTTGTTCACGGACACGTACGACGGGCACCGCTCCAGCGGCTTGGGCGGCCACGTATCCGGGTACGCAATGCACGTCGTGGCTTGGCACTGGAGCGGCGCTGCGCGGTGGAGCTGACCCACGTCTTTGCATACAAAATACGACGCGTCGAGGCGAAACACCCCCGGGGCGACGGCGTTGTTGGTGGTGTGCTTGTCGAGGGTTGTTTGCAAGTCCAACTGAAATGTTGCGAAGGACGTGCCATGGGCCTCGATGTCTGCGTACGCGATCGAGTCGAACAGAAGTGGAACGTTCGACGATGTCGACAGCGTGATATCGCGTCGATTCAGCGCAGACGTGGCCGTGATATTGACGGGTGCTGAGGCAGCGCACTGCTTGGGGACCGCATAGATTGGATTGCGCGGGACGTACAGGATCGATTTTGGCCCGAACGTACAATGATCCAAGGGAAAGCACCTGGGCTGGGTGATGGCGGTCGGTCCACCAACCGATCGCCCGTCAGTCAAGCCAGCAGTCGACTCGCCACGCGTAGCATGGACCGCGCCAAGGCCAAGAAACAAACCTGCTTTCATCGATGGTGCGTGTGTCAAATTGGAACAACGGGGTGTGGCGTCGACGCGACCTTTCGAAAAGATCTCGCGACTGTGTGGGTTGTAAGAACGGGCCAATCGAAATTCACGACGCTTCCACAGGGTGGGATGCTTTCGATCACTGCTTTGAAGGGATGGAATGTGCTGCATGAGCAGGTCGACGTGATCCAATTCAAGCGGGGGTTGTGGTAGGGGGTCCTTGGCAGCCCCACATTGCTGTGGCCATGATTAGCGCCGGCGCCATTCCGTGTGGCGTGGTCGATGTGCCCATCTCCAGCTCGATAGCCGACTTCCTCAACTTACGTTCAAAGCCGTGACTTGTGGCCGCGAAATGCTGTCTCAAGCACTTGATAGGAGCGTGACAAAAGGAGTGACCCGGATTGTACGAGCTCTGGGTCAGGCTGCAGTTCGATGCAGTCAGCGGGGAAGCGCAGAGCGGCGGGTGTAACCTCCTCGGCCACAATCGGGCTTCGCGCATGTCGCCAGGGCAAGGCATAGCCCTCCACTGTCGCGGTGAACAAGACCCCAGTGGATTCGATCAAGTATTGACTGGCGTCATGAGGGCACACGGCACCTTTCCTCGAAGCCCCCCAAAACCGCGAAGCGACCAAGAACTGGCATTGAGGGCGAGGGGGGTTTCTGGACCCTCTCATGCGTGGGCGGAGGTGACTAAACGGTTCCAATTGCGCTAAACTTGTTGGGGAATCTCGACGGTGGCGAAGGTGGTGACCCCTACGGGCACGAGGGTCGCCATTCCGAGGTTGGACCGACCACTGTGTGACCTCTTCACCCACATCGCCAGCTCGACGTCCCCAGAAAACCTAAACAAGTACGCCAATACAAATGTAGCTTTTATATAGCAATAATGCTGCTTATAAAATAGTCTTCTTACCGCTACTCCAATACCGTCATACTACTTATAATATATGTCACCAATCGCATTGTCCAGTGTGCACCCTGGCTATCGCAAAAAGCTGGTCGGGATGCAGCGTTCGGTGTCACAGGGGCGAACGGTAGAGCTGCCACGCGAGTGTCTACTGCATGCACACTAGCAAGTTTGAGCGAAAGGACATGGCGTGCTCGGTCAAGTGGTGCTGTCGTCGTCGATTCGATAGACTAGAGGACACTCCAAATTCGACATTTTCGCCAGCAAGATCCGGCATCAACTTCTCCATAATCAAAGCAATTTCAACATGGTTTATGTATGTCTTTGGAAACGTGACACAATCGTGCTGGGTCGAGTGCACTATCTTTCGAACATGTAGATTCGAATATATGCAAGAATGACACTGACCATTGTCCTTCGAAAATGGAGCGTTCGTCCTGACCATCCTGGCCTCCATTCGTCACGTCGGGCCATGCGAGAGTCAAGTCCACATGGCGACAGCAATGGTTGAAGTTGGGCCCAGCCGAAGCACAATGGCGTTCGAGAATGCCCACCTGGCCTCATTCTGGAAACGACTGCCACCATGACAGACTACGTGGCGCTCAAGTCGCCAGGCAAGCCGCCGAAGGACGATGCCGCGTTGGCCGTCGAGGTGGCCGAGGAGACCAAGTGGAACTCGGTCCCGCATCCTCTCGAGTCGGCCAACTTGTTCTCGTTCGTCGGAGTGAACTGGATGGGTCCGCTCATGTCAAAAGGGGCCAAGACGGCGCTCGTGGAAGACGACATTTGGCCATTACCGCACTTCGACACGGCTGGCAACCAGTCCAACTCATTTGAACGACACTGGGCCGACCAGCTCAAGCTCGAATCGCCTAATCTTGCTGTGGCGCTCTTCCGCACGCTCAAGCCGCGCATCCTCAGCTCGTTTCTGCTGTACGTTCTCTCTGGCGCCATCCTCATGGTCCAACCGATCATGATCAAGAGCATGTTGCAGTACTTGACGCTGTACGACAAGCCCAACTTTACCACGTCGCTCGGAGTCACCAACGGGTACGCGCTCGCGGCGCTCCTCACAGCGCTCACGTTTGTGTCGGTGACGGTCGGTGACTTTGGTCAATTCCTCACGAACCGACTCGGGTGCAATGCAAAGATCATCTTGATTGACAACGTGTTCCGAAAGATCCTGCGCATGTCAGGCCATGCCAAGAAGGCCATGACCACCGGCGAGATCGTCACGATGGCGTCTGTGGATGCTGACCGACTGTTCTTTGGCTTTATGCTGGGTTACTGGACGCTCATCAGGTACAATTGTCTTGGCTCCGTCGTCGTCACGGCCGTCGATTCGTAGCCCCATGATGCTTCTCGCGGTGTTCATCTTGATCGGAAACGAACTCGACTGGGTCTCTGGCCTCGTCGGCGGCCTCCTCATGCTGCTCTTCCTGTACTTTGGCTTTGTGTCCGGCAAACACGTCGGCCAGGTCCGGCGCAAAGTCCTCGGCGTTCAATCGGAACGGGTCAAGCTCACAAACGAAGTCCTCCAAGGCATCCGCGTCGTCAAGTTGTACGCGTGGGAATCGTCGCTGGCCGACCAACTCGCGGAAATCCGATCGCGCGAGCTCGCCCTCCTCAAGAAATACCAAACGCACCGCATCCTGAACACGGTCTTCATGTCCGTGGCGCCCGTGATCTCGCTCGCAGCGTGCTTGATGATCTATGTCGCACGTGGCTACACCCTCACGACGCCGTTGGCTTTCACGGCGCTGGCTTACATGAACATCGCCCGCCAGCCGTGCACGGTGTTTAGTACCGCCGTGATGGGGCTGTCGGAAGCATGGGCGTCATGCCAACGCATCACCAAGTTCCTCGTCGCTGATGAGATTCCGCTCTTGGAAGGGACGCACCACGCTGGTAAGGCATGCCGGGCGTCGTTGCCTGACTGGGTTGGTACTGCTGTAGGGAAGGCCGACGACGACGTGCCCGTGATCGAGATTGCCGATGGCAACTTTAGCTGGGATGCCACGAGCAAGGCATCGACGGAACAGCAGCACGATTCGGTTGCGCCGGTCGGGCCGACCGACGTCGCAGTCCACGAGGCGGCCGCCGTGACGCTGTCCAGCATCAACCTCCACATCCAACCCAATACGCTCACGATCATTGTGGGCAGCGTCGGCAGCGGCAAGTCGAGTCTGGTCAGCGCCATCCTGGGCGAAATCCACCAGATCAGCGGCAGCCACAACGTGCGGGCGCATTTTTCGTACGTGAACCAAGAAGCGTGGATCCAGCACGCCACACTCAAGCAAAACATCCTGTTCGACTCGCCATACGACGAAGCGCTGTACCACGAGGTGCTGTCGGCTTGCCAGCTCGAGACGGACTTGGCCATGCTCCCTCGCGGCGACGAGACCGAGATCGGCGAGCGCGGCATCAACTTGAGCGGCGGCCAAAAGGCCCGCGTGAGTCTGGCTCGCGCGCTGTACCACCGCCGCGCGAACGTGTTCCTTTTGGACGATCCTTTGAGCGCGCTCGACGTGCATGTGGCCAACGCCGTATTCGAACAATGCGTGCAAGGGCTCCTCAAGGACAAAACGACCATCCTCGTGCTGAACAGCCACTACCACTTTTTGCCGCACGCGGACCGCGTGCTGGTGATGGCGGACGGCGCGATTGTCGGCGATGGCAAGTTTACCCAGCTCAAGGTCGACTTTCCGCACCTGCTGAGCTTTGTTGAGAAGAAGGAAGTGGCCGATGGCAACGATAGCGACGCTGCGGACAGCAAGGATGCCACGCCGGAAGAGAAAAAGAAAGCCGATGCAACCAAACAAGGGCCCCCCGGTGGTGGCCGCGGCGGAGGACTCATGGACAAAGAAGATCGCGCCCAGGGACTCGTCACCTTCAACACGTACAAGATGTACTTTGGCTCGAGCGGGTACAACGGCGTGGTCGTAATCCTGTCCATCATTGTCATCTTCACGGCTGCCCAAGCCGCGGCCGCCATGACGGACTGGTACATGAGCTACTGGGCCAACAACATTGCCCTCAACAACTCCATGACGACGGGGTGGTATTACCTCATGATTGCGATCTCGTCGCTCGTGCTGTACTACGGCCGCTCCATCTACGTCCTATTTGTCGCGATCGCATGCTCGCGGTCTCTCCACGCCAAGGTGTTCCAAGCCGTTGTGAGCGCGCCCGTCCCGACCTTCTTTGACGTGACTCCCATGGGCCGCATCCTGAATCGGTTTTCGTCCGACCTGGACCAAGTCGACTCGATGCTGCCGTTCTTTGGCATGATGGTGCTCCAGTTTTTGTTTATGATATTCGCCATTCTCATCGTGTGCGCCGGGTCGACGCCGTGGATTCTCATCGCATACGTCCCCATCGCGTTCCTCTTCAAGTGGCTCCAGCAGTACTACAACGTGTCGTCGGCCGAGCTCAAACGGATGGACGGGATCGCGCGGTCGCCGGTCGTGACACTTGTCGGCGAAGCCATCAACGGTCTCTCGACCATTCGCGCATTCAACATGACCGGCCAGATCTCGGACAAGCAGCGCAAGGCGCTGGACCACTACATCAGCTTCTCGTTTGCGTACACGTGCTCGGGCCGGTGGTTCCAGCTGCGCCTCGACTGGGTCTCTTCCTTTGTGATCACGGGTATGTGAGGTCATACCACGCTCTCCGTCCTTCTCACGTGCCTCTCGTTTCGGTCGTTTTCTAGCCGTCGCGTTCATTGCGGTGGCCACCCGCAGCTCGATCGGGGTGACCGCTGCCGGGCTCGCACTGACGTACTCGTCGCAGCTCTCGACTGTCCTCTCGCGCACGGCAGTCTTCGTCACGTTTGTTGAAAACACCATGACATCCGTCGAACGCCTTGGTCACTACAACTCGTTGGAAAATGAAGACACCGGCCACAACACGACGACGAAGGTCGCAGCTTCGTGGCCGACGCAGGGCGAGATCACATTTACCAACTACTCGATGCGGTACCGCGAGCACTTGGATTTGGTCCTCAACGACGTGAGTTTCACGGTCAAGGGCGGCGAGAAGGTTGGGATCTGCGGCCGCACGGGGTCGGGCAAGAGTTCGCTCATGGCGGCGCTCTTCCGCATGGTGCCGTCGGCGACGGGCACGATCACGCTGGACGGGGTACGGATCGATGACCCATGCGTGTGAGGAGGTCTGATGGCTCTATGCAGGTGGACATTGCGTCGATCTCGGTCCGCACGCTCCGGTCGCGCCTGACCATCATCCCGCAAGACCCGGTGCTCTTTAGCGGGTCGCTTCGGTTCAACTTGGACCCGTCCAACACGTGCTCGGACGACGAGCTGTGGACGGCGCTCAAGCGAGTGCACTTGGACGAGTTTGTGGGGTCGCTCGAGTTTGCCGTGTCGGAGAAGGGCGGGAACGTGTCGGTGGGCCAGCGCCAGTTGGTGTGCATCGCGCGCGCGTTGTTGCGCAAGTCCAAGGTCGTGGTGCTGGACGAAGCGACGGCCAACATCGACCTCGAGACGGACCGGCTGATCCAGCAGATGATCCAGGACGGGTTCCACGGCGTCACGCGGCTCATCATTGCCCATCGGCTCGAGACGATTTTGGACTCGGACCGGATCCTCGTGCTGGACGCGGGCCGCGTCAAGGAGTTTGACGCCCCCGCCACCCTCCTCGCCAACAAGGACAGCGCGTTCGCCCAGCTCGCCCAACACGCCCACGTCCAAGTGTCATAAAATATCCTATTCACCCTAGCTTGATGTGAAGCATGCCATCCACACACGCGGTAGAGACGTTCCTTGCACGAGGACCGGCGGCACTGCCCACGACTGGACTGGCTTCGACCTTTGTTCCATGCCAACCTCGAACTAGAG